CATACTCAAGAGGCTTATAATCAAAGGAGAAGGTAGACACCAACTAGTTTGTAATTACCTAGTATATATTTGATAGATTTGAGTTCAATTGTGAATGAGAGGAGTAAGGGTGTGTGGAATTAAATGTAAAGAGTATTCTTCAATATTTTAATAACAAAGGAAAATGGAGAAGGACATAATTCAGAAACCAGCTAATCCATCCATGATTGATTTGGAGCTTTTGCAGCACACCAGTTCTTTAGCCTTTCCCTAAATCCTCAATTCTGATTGTACCATGGGAAGACTTCCCTTTGAAGCAGGTCATTCACGCCTCTCAACACTTGCTAACCTTCCTTGACAGAAGACAGCCTGCCTTTAAGCACAACAGTCTTTCACTGGAAAATATGCTAAAAATATAATATGCTAAAAATTTTAATACATTTTTATTCACTGTTCATTTTAGTGGTCCCTTCTACTTAAGTTTTTAAATGTCTATTTAAGTTTTTTTTTTTCAAGAAAAAAACAATTTAGGTACAAGAAATTGACAGAAATCTGAGGCTAACAGACAATGACTGAAATTTGGAAGATACAGTTCTAGGTTTCTGATTTGGGCACTTTCTTCTAATGGTCTACTCAGGACTGCTCTTTTTATACTTCATATCCATAAACATATGTTTTAATTCTCACATGTTGCTGTACAATGAAGTTGATCTAAATGTGACATTCCCCAAGGCACTACTGGGAAATTGTTTTATTGACAGAAGTTTTGTATGTCTTTGTGCCGCCTTGTCTGTGACTCACACGTTCAAAGTAATAGATCTAATTGGAGGCCCCCTTTATTTGTGCCCAGAATTCACCTGTTTCAGAGAACTGCTTGGTTTTGATAGCACAGAGAAAGCCTGCACTAATTTGTCTTACTGTCCGTAGTTTACTTATTTTTGGCTGCGTTGGTCTTCATTGCTGCGCGCAGGCTTTCTCTAGTTGCGGCGAGCAGGGGCTGCTCTTCCTTGTGGTGCGCAGGCTTCTCATTGCAATGGCTTCTCTTGTTGCAGAGCATGGGCTCTAGGCGTGCAGGCTCAGTAGTGGTGGCACACGGGCTTAGTTGCTCTGCGGCATGTGGGATCTTCCTGGACCAGGGCTCGAACCTGTGTCCCCTGCATTGGCAGGCGGATTCTTAACCACTGCACCACCAGGGAAGTCCCCGTACGTAGTTTGATTTGTCATTTGAGTTGAGTTGTTCCTCTGCTGTTATGTTCCACTACAGAAACTGCACAGCTCCTCCTGGTGGTCTCCGACGGACGCGGCCTTTTCTTTGAGGGCAAAGACAGAGTCCTAGCAGCAGTTCAGGCCGCCCGGAATGCTAACATCTTTGTCATTTTTGTTGTGTTGGACAATCCCAGTTCACGGGTGAGCGATTACTAAAAGCCACTTTCCTGGGGATTCCCTTCAAGTTGTTCTATCTGAAGAATGGCCTGGGTCTCACAGTCATACCGAGAACTCCTATAACATTCATGGCATCCTGAAGGGCACTGTTCTAGGCATTTTATAATTATTTTCTCATGTAACCGAGCAGTAACTCAGTGATGTAGGGATGGTTATTCCCACTCTACAGTGAAGGACAGAAGCACAGAGGTTGTAGGTAATGACAAGGAAGCCAGTATTCAGACTGACTCAGTCTGTCCTCTTAACCACTTTCTGTGCTGACTAGTACTCTGGTGGGTCATCTCCCTCTGCACAGCGTCGCTGCAGGTATCGCAGCCTCGATGATGGGCCCTGTCCGTTGGAAACGTAGACCAGCCTTTCCAAGTACTTGGATCTCAGCAGTGCCCTCCTCAAAGGAGGAAGCATCAGTCGCTACATGAAAGATGCCCACGGGGTGGTCTGTTCCCGGGGAAGTACCGTCTCTGCAGGTCACATTAAGGCCCGGAGTGCAAGCTGAAAATTTAACATGAATTATTCCAAGTAGAGAATAGGAAATACCACTGTAGGGAAATCAGGTTTGCTTATCTACCCCTTTCCTTCCCTTTTAGTGGCCATTCTCCTGGAAGGGGTGCTCAGAAAGAGATCTGCCGCCTCCTTATTGAGAGTTCTGTTTTACCTAGTAATAAGAGCTATTTTTATAAGCAGGAATTAGACATGTGAGACCTAAAAATTGTCTGCAAAGGAGATCATAAAAGAGCTAGCCAAGGACACTGATTTAGTTTTATTTCTAAATGTTTTTTTTTTTGCCAGGATTCTATCTTGGACATCAAGGTACCAATATTTAAAGGGCCTGGAGAGATGCCTGAAATCCGATCCTACATGGAAGAGTTCCCATTCCCGTTCTATATAATCCTACGCGATGTGAACGCACTTCCCGAGACGCTCAGCGATGCTCTCAGGCAGTGGTTTGAGCTGGTGACAGCCTCTGACCACCCGTAGAACAGAAGGAACACAGTCCTAAGTGAGACTTTGCGGTCAGAATGTCACACTGCTTGCCGGGTGCTCCCTTTTGGACAACTGTTTCTGAACTCCCAGCTCAAAAATGGTATTTAATCTTAGATTTGATTTATAATCATTCACCCAACAGCTACAAAAAATTTTATTGCAACATTTTATTTTACAACACGATTTCAGAGCCTAGAGAAAACTCATGCTCCCTGCTGTGCCTGGGCTCCAGTGCTTGTAATAAACTTGGGGTGAAGGAACAGCAGCAGCAGGTGTCTGG